CCTCGGGGTACCCAGGGGAGGGTCAGCAGGGACCCTCGGGGTGCCCAGGGAGCCCAGGGATGGTCACCCAGGGGTGCCCAGGGAGCCGGGGATGGTCAGCAGAGTCCCTCAGAGTGCCCAGGGAGCCCGGGGATGGTCACCCAGGGGTGCCTAGGGAGCCCAGGGACGGTCAGCAGAGACCCTCGGGGTGCCCAGGGATCCTGGGGATGGTCAGCAGAGACCCTCGGGGTGCCCAGGGAGCCCGGGAACAGTCACCCAGGGGGTGCCCACCTACCGCGTTGCTCTTGAAGAGCTCGTACTTGGCGAAGTTCTTGCGGAACACGAAGCGGCTGTCGGCTCCAGGCGCCCAGGAGCTCTGCACCTCCACCACCGACTCGTGGTCCTCCAGGCAGCGCTCTGCGCCGGGGGGCACAGGGGGTCAGCGGGGCTGGGGAGGGTCCCACCGGGCCCACCGTGCCCCTGCCGCACTCACCCAGAGCCAGGTGCTGGTGCAGCTCCACCAGGGCCCAGCTGTGGTCGTGCAGAGCCCGCGTCCTGCGCACCAGAGTGTCGCAGAGCTGCCGCGCCGTGGTGGCCGCCGACGCCTCCAGCGAGCGGCACGCACCGTCCTCGCCGAACACCTTCACCACCTGCGGGTGCCGAGGGGGTGGCAGGGCGCCCCCGGAGTGAGGGGACACCGCAAGACCGCTGGTGACACCTCCCAACCCGCCTCCTGCTCCCCAGTTCGTGCGGGAGGTGATCCTTCCCAACCCCTCGGCCCCCTGGATCAGGAGGGTGAGACCTTTGTGGAGGGGTCCAAAGGCTGAGACCCCCCCTTCCCACCCCGTCACGGGAGGAAATTCCTGCCCCAGGGGTGAGATTTGTTAGCTTGAGAGGAAAACTCACTTTGACTAAAGCAGATGCTTTTAAATAAAACCTGCAAAGGGATCCTAAGCAAATCGAAAACAAATAAGCATGGAATGTACCCGGTCCAGGGTATTGTAAATGGAAATATTTTGTGATTTTTGCTGGTGGACTACAAATTGCAAGCCCCCCGCTCTCCCCAGCCCCCCGACTCTGCCTCATGCGGGAGCTGCCCTCGTTAGGGGCGTCCCTACCCCAAAAATCCCATCCCCATCGCCCCAACCCGTGTAAGGCGCCTTTGCAGGGGTGTCCCCACCCCAAATCGGAGCCCCCCACGGCAGCCCCCCGCCCCAGACTCACATGGGAGGTGCCCTCGCGGGGGGGTCCCTGTCCCAGGGCCGGGCTGCTCAGGATGGGCGAGTTGGAGGGGCTGCAGAGCTCGGGGAAGGGGTTGGGGATGCTGGGCAGCGACGATGCTCTCGGCTCGTCCTGCGGCGGCTGCCGGCTGTGGGGACAGCGGGATGAGCTCCCTGTGCCCCCCGTGAGCCCCCCAAAAACACCCCCCGGGCCCCACACCCACCTGCTGCCGTGGATCAGGAGGGGCTGGGAGCGCTTGACCTCGGGGGGACCCTCGCCCCCATCCCGCTCGCCGGGACTCCCGTCCTGCTCGGGGGGCTCCCAGAGGCTGCTCTGCTGAGCCCCCCCCTCCATGGCATTATCTGTGGGGAGAGGGGGGGTCTG